TACATCAGATTTTGTTGGCTGCTGCTCCTGCACAGACCTGGAAGATGACCCAAACGGAAGAATGGAATTGTGCAGCTTAAACTGAGTTTGTTGTCGCGACTCCCCGCGCTTTAGTACTTAGACTTGCTTACTTGCGATAAATGAAGAGTTTAAAGATGCAGTAAAGATGTGGTCAAACTTGCTTCGAATTTCAATCAAGGGTCAGAGCTACCCCGATTATAGTGTTCAATGTAATGGCGCTGAATATAATGTCACCAGCTAGTAGAGAAAGCATATTGATGTCAGACAAATTTCAGCCATTAGAGAGGGCACTGAAAAAGGTAGAAAGCAAGTTTCAAGCTCGTTTGTTGAGATAGCTGACTTTTGGACGGATGGTTTAGTTTCTACAAATCATTCTACATGGTTTCAAAGCCTCAATAATCGCTTTCCCACTTGTCATTGAAAGGGCGTTGGTGACCATACGAAGTATCAGATCGAGTACAACCAGCCAGCCTGCCAGGCGATTTCCGACTTTCTCTACCTGGTAGTTTCTTCAGTTTTTCTGCCGTAAGGAGGGTGTGCGGAAAGGCATCTATCACGCGAGGAAAGGGTTTTACCGTTATAGAGGGAGGGGTCTTTGGTTTCCCACATATGAAGAATCTCAGGTTAGTTTGGCCAGCCATGAATGTTCGACAATTTCATTTTCTGTGGGGTCTATCGTACTCCGGTCATGTGATGTGTTTCCAGCTTTTGGCTCAACGCCAATGTCTGTTCTGCTTGAGACTTCGCTCGGTGACCTAGTCATCGACCTCGAAGTCGAATTATGTCCAAAGACATGCGAAAACTTTCTCAAACTGTGTAAAGTGTATTACTACAACTTAAATGCTTTCTTCAATGGTAAACAATCCATCTTGCAGAGGATCTTTTTGGACTAACTCTAAATTGCAGTTCAGAAAGACTTTCTTGCTCAATCTGGGGATCCTACAGCGACTGGCACAGGCGGAGAATCTATATGGTCGCACATCAATAACAACTCACAGTCATCGAGGAAAACAAATACGGTCTCTCGTTTCTTTACCCCCGAAATTTTCCCTAAACTCAAACACCAAACCAAAGGCACTGTATCCATGGCTGTTGCACCTACATCAGACAACGGAGTCGTCGGCGGCTGCGCAAGTCAATTCTTCATCACCCTCGTCGATAATACAGACTACCTCGACGGCGTTCACGCCGTATTCGGGCATGTCGTCGAAGGTCTTGATACCCTCGATAAACTCAACGACGTGTTTGTAGGGAAAGACTTTCGTCCAATGAAAGATGTACGGATTCGACATGTCGTTATCCTCGATGACCCATTTCCTGACCCACCAGGTCTAGAAACCCTCGTTCCATCGAATCCACCCACCAAACCCCCAGACGCCGGTTCTAATTCGTTCTTTGGAATATCGGAAGACGAGGACCCTTTATCCACCATGCCAGAAGAGGAGGAAGAGAAACGTCGTAGAGAGGCTGCGGCTCAAAGTTCCGCTCTTACATTGGAGATGGTTGGAGACCTGCCCTTCGCGAATGTTCGGCCACCGGAAAATGTGTTATTTGTGTGTAAACTGAATCCGGTTACGAGAGACGAAGATCTCGAGTTAATCTTTTCTCGGTTCGGGGTGATCATGAGCTGCCAGGTTATCAGAGATAAAAAGACGGGTGATAGTTTGCAGTACGCGTTCATTGAGTTTGACAAAAGGGAGGATGCAGAGCAGGTCAGTCTTCATAGATCCGTGAATTCGTTCCATTGATCTCAAGAAGTTTTCCGCGTAGGCATACTTCAAAATGCAAAACGTTCTTGTAGACGACCGGCGTATTTGGGTCGACTTTTCACAGTCGGTAGCTAAAACGAACGATTACTGGTCCAATGATATCAAACGGGGATCCGGTAAGAAGAGAGGCCTCGGGGCGGGCTTTGGTGGTCGCGAAGATCTTGTCCAGACCCGGCGGTACCGTGATGACGATGACGATAGACACGGAGGAGGAGGAGGAGGATACGGCATGGTTTTTGATGTACCATCTGGTCACTCACGAGATAGAGATTCCAGAAAGCGTAGTCGTAGTCCTAGGAGGGACCGTAAACGGAGCGCTAGTCCGAGGCGGAATGACAGGCGGGATAGGGACACCTTCGAAAGGCGGAGAGACAGAAAGAGGTAGATCTGGTAAATGGGTGGCTTGGAATTCGGCTATAAAGACAATCTACACCGGTGTACTGCCATTTTCCCGAAATCCATTCTCAAAATCCTCCTCTAATGACTTGAATCATCGAGACTGGGCTGTTTCCGAAAGTTTAGCTACAAGCCATTTCCGACAAACAAGGAAAGGCGTCACAAACACGTTCCTTACCGGTAGGAAACTCAGAGATTTTGTCTGTCAGGGATGTTCCACCATGAATAGATCACATACATAGTATATGCTCTACATGAAATACTACGCTGCGTTCCCCCAGGACATCTTCACGATACGTTGAACGACCGCGTGTTTTTTTTAATACGAGAGAGTACACGCTAGATGGCACATCCACAGGACCCTCTCTCATGTATACTTGTCTTTGTATCTGACGTCTCCAGGTCGTTAGCGCTCTTTTGGATTGTTCGTGTGGTCCTCAAAGTCATCGTAAGTACGGTGACCTGCGCGGTCTGAGTGAACCTTGTAGATCCTTCCCCCAGTCAGAAGGCATTTCTGGAAGCTGTGATGATCGCACAAAATTCTCCTCGTGTTGCTAACCTGGAGAAATCCAGACATTGGTTTGTTGAGTAGGAGGGTAAAAGCATGTGATGAGATCGCGCGGAGAGAGTATCTTCCAGCAAAAGAAGATCCTGATACACGGGTGAACGGGTTCGTCTTTATGTGAACTGTTGGTTTACGCCACGTATCACACTTATTTAGTCCTAGTGGCAGCATCGTTTCTTGCAGGTTTTTGATCGTCCGCGCAATAGCATATACCAAAACTCGTTGGGATGAAAGGTCTTGATATTGAGAAAGGTAGGATCAAAAGTGGTATCTTATCACAAAGTTCAAAACACCTGATAAACGATCTCAGTATCATCAAGATGCTTTCTCCAATCTTTCGTATTTCAATCGATAACCCAGCAAAGGAGCAACATATCCGCCGAGTACCTTAACGAACTATGCATAGAGCAAGCAAAAGTGATTAGCAGCGCTGAACATCTATCTGTACAATCAACTCACAGCTTTTTCCAACCAAGCCACATGAACCGGGAACACAGGATATCCATCTCCGTGATAGAACACCTGCATCATTGGCACTAAGCCTCCTGAGGATAAACCTCCTGGTATCGCGAATATGTTCCGGAAGAACAGTTCTTTCGTGTCAAAGTCCTGCTCAATCGCATAAAACTATAAGTCTACTCATAAGAGGAAACGAACAAATACGCACAGTTGGATTTGTCCGCTCACTGACTACACATGGTTCTCCTTTGGAGCTCTCTAAAGCATGAGGCACACCTCTTAGTACAAATGCATCCCCACTTTCAGGCGTGTACACTGCAGTCTTTCCTCCAAGAGTGACTCTGAGCTTTCCCTCAAGGACAGTGATGATTTCGTCATGGTCTTTGTGCCAATGTAGCGGGACTTGAAAGATATCGTCGTCTATTCCACCCCTGACTTTGACGATACGACATTGTGGCTGGAGGATCTGGTTGGTAAAGAACAGGCATGAAGAAAATAAGTGAAAGAATAGAGTGATTTTATACGAATGAGCTTTGAGTTACCATGGTGATCCCTTTCAGGAACTCAAAGGTATCTGAATACTCTGATTCGGTCATCCTTTGGTTGAGGCGAAAACTAGTAGGGTCTGCTGAAGGTACGAAATGAGCTTCATACTGCACCTTTATATGTTTTGCGTTTCCTCTCTGTTTCGTGTCTGAACATGAACACGTTCAGGAGGTTGTACAATGTATGGGCGCTGTTCGGGATTCGGTTTACAAAATCCGATTCTGCCAATATCCGGTGATCCCACCTTCAGGGGACGCTGCATCGACGTCAGTCCACTTCGAAAGTAGGGGAGAATAGAGGACGGTGCAAGATGCTCACCAACCTGACCCGAGCTTCTTTCCATTTGCTCTTGTATGAACCTATTTCCTTCGTTTCATCTTTTCGTACCTGTTTGCCCTCGACTCCGTCACTACCCTTACCTGATTCACCACTTCTTGAAACGCGTCTCAAAATGCTTGATACCTACATTGGCGCAAATGCGGACACGGTCGGTGATCACTAGACTAATACGTATTTGCTACATGTACGGTACGTCGGCACTGCGAAACACGAGAGTCAAGAGAGTAAGAGAGAGAACTCACATATAGAAAGAATCTTTAGTAGGAGCACGGCTCCCTATTCCTAAATCATCCCGTCCCCAGAATTAAAAAAGGTTAGTACAAGGCTTGAACTTGTACGCCGAGCAGTTTGAATGCCGTAAGGCTGTAGATTCGTGCTTTGATAACGATACACAACGATCAATTCTGTGATCAAGCGAAGCTTCAAAGGAATACGATTATCAGTAGAACGAGCGATATTAGATTGGAGTAACATAAATTTGCTCACCTGAAACTGCAATTTTTATGACACAAAAAACTTACTCCTATTCGGTCAACGCCCTCCGTTTGTTCATCGCCGTTTGTAAAACATACTTCGAATGGACCACTATATATCCCCGAATTTGAACGTCCCTCATTATATCCTGGTTTCTCCTAAGAGCGGAACGTTGGGGTTCCGAGGGTGTGTGTGTGTGATTTAACGTTCGATATTAGAGTCCGAACTGGAAAAGTCGCATCTACTCGTAGTATAAGCGTCGCATTTGGATGATGATACTCTTGAATAGGTCTTCAGCAGTCTTCGTACACACGACGATCTTCATTAGCAGCGGAAAGTTAATTTCCAAATTCATTCGAAGCATGATTGATGTCTATTCTTCCGACAATTCCACGGCAACAATGGACGAAGGACAGAAACCAAAGCACAGCTCCCTGGTAGTATATCGGTTAGTACACGCGCCTGTCAATGAAACATCTATTGTTGTATCAAGCTACGCGCGAAAGCTGGGTTCGACTCCCAGCCAGGGAGGTCTTTTCTTTTCTAGTTCATTTTTTTCTCTTGCTGAATAGTAATTAGTTAAGATGCTAAACTAGCCTCAACCTCCAGCCGAGCGGCAAGCGTGTGCTCTAGCGCAAATGTGTTTTCTCTCACAAGCATTTCTTTTCTTCTCAAATGCGAATTAACAACCTGTCACACAGTCTATTCACCGTACTCAATAATCTACACTCTTTTCTGCAAAATTCCTCACTTGTATTGCAAATAAATAAATAAATTCTTTCTGCAGTCTCAAACTGGCCAGAGCATTTTCTAAACCCATACATGGAACATCACTAGCAGCACCAATGACAGGCAACAACATACCAAACTTCACAAACACGGGTTTCCCCCCAGAACACCAACACTTCAACCCCAGGCACCAGACGCAGGAACACATATGCACACGAGGCTTAGGTTCGGGCCAGGAGGGGCAGCAAACCCACATCGAGGAACACTATTTGCCACATGATTGCTACCCCCAATGGACAGACAAGATGCAGGGGCAGCTAGTGGAAACCCAGTCAATAGGGGAGATGGAGATAGCAGTGAGGAAGAAGGAACAGAAGAAGGAACTGATCAAAGGCAGGAGGCAAGGATCACAGCGGAGAACACATCACCATGGTAATCAGCTGAGGACATCATAGCAAGCTTGCACAAGGAACTATTGGAACTCAAGGTGCAACAAAGCATGGTGATTACCAATCAGTTCGAGGTGGATGCAGATACTACTGAACAGGTAAGAGCAATAATGGCCAACTCAGTGGTATCAGCAAAGAAAGGGACAATTCCACCAATACTACCAGACATAATACCTGTGGTGACGAAGGGAGAAAGCACGGGGAAAGCACAGGCTCAAAGCACAAACCGAAGTGAGGGGTGGGGCTAGCACCACACACAAAGGCTGAAAGATAGAGTGATCAAGACAACAGTGATAGCGCAGGGGCCAATCACTAGGGTCGCACAAGGAAAACTAGTTCCAAAGACCAAGTAAATATATTGAAGATAGACAATGATACAAGTACTAACCTAGTTCCAAAGACCAAGAGGTCAAGATGGGGAACTAGGTGTCAGCTTACTGTACTATATATACAAGTGTCTAGCTGAGTAAGCGACAGCGCGGGAAGTTGATAGAAGTATGCGGAATGATGTAGAAGGATGTGGAAGAATGTAGCTGGATCCAAATAGTAACAAAGATAAAGGAAGAAGGAAATATAGGAAAAATAAAGTAAGTACCGTATCCTGTGTAGCACATCACGACATTACCCCCCTTCTACAGTCGATGTCCCAGCGACTATTTCAGTGAGGTTTTCATAGGGTTGCCAGGGTAGAGAGTGGAAGATGGAGGCTGAAATTTTTCGTGGTGCATTTGAGTGTTTTGCATAGAAGTCTGCAATTGCCTCGTCGCTTGTGCCCACTAAGTTCTCTTCATGCTCCCAACTATTGTGGCCCTCATTGTACCCCTTCCACTTTACCAGGAATTGCAACTTTTTCCATCATCCAAAGATCCGGCTGTCCAGGACCTCCTCCACGTCGTAGAACTCCTCCCCCTCCACAATTTTGGGTTCCGGTGGTGGTGGCTCAATTCCATTGACCTCATTCCCTTTCCAGGGAGACAGACGGTTGGTATGTATGTTGTCGTGGATCTTCATCCAGGTAGGTAGGTGTAATCAATATGTGAGGGGCCCTGTTTTCTCTGCGATTTCGAATGGACCTAGGCGTTTGCTCCCTAGTTTCTGGTTCTCTTGTCATACCTTTAATTTGCTCAAAGATAGCCACACTGGTTGTCCAACTTTGAATTCCTGTACTTTGCCATTTACACCCTCTCTAATGCATTCCTTGCTCATCCGTAGTGCTGCCTCTGCATCCTCGCGTGCATGCTGGAGCAGTTCTAGTCGGCGTTCAATGGATGGGTATTTGGTCTCCATGCCATTTGGAATGGTGAACTTGGCGGTGTACCCATAAAGTGTTTCGAAGGGGGAGTGGCTGTGTGCAGAGTGAATATGTACATTCATGACAAACTTGGCAGTAGGGATTAAGAGGTCCTAGTCGTCCTGTCGGTGACTTACATACATGTGAATGTAGTGTTCAATTTCCTGGTTAGCACGTTCTGTCTGTCCATTTGTCTCAGCGTGATAAGCTGTGGTCAGGGCAGAGTCGATTCCTAGTCGCTTCAGTAGCTGTCGCATAACATCTGCTGCAAATTGGGGTCCTCTATCAGAAATGAATTGGCGGGGTAGGCCATGTAAGCGAAAGATTTCTTTGTAAAAGAAATCTGCTACTCCTTCTGCAGTTATCTCGGTTGTACAGGGGAAACAGTGAACCATCTTTGTGTAATGGTCCACAAAGGTGATGATAGCATTGTGGCCATCTTGTGTCATAGGTAGTTCCCCAATGAGATCCACGCCGATGTCCTGCCAGGGTCCTTCTGGTATAGGAAGAGGTTGAAGAGGAGAGTGGTGGTGGGGGTTCAGGTGTTTGTGCTGGCAGTGGTCACATCTGTCGATGTACTTGTCTACAAAAGAGTGCATCCCAGGCCACCAGTACAGTCTGCTGACTAGTTCCAGGGTGCCATGCATCCCTGGATGACCTGCAGTCGGTGCATTGTGACAGTGTTCCAGGATTGTTTTCCTTAGTGCCATATCTGGTGGGACGTAGACTTTGTTGTGATAATAGACCAAACCGTTTTCTTCTTTCCACTCAGCTAGACCACTGGTGAGACTTTGGGGTCCCTTGATACCTTTCAGACCATCCAGGACTTCTGCCTCTCATTTGCTAATCTGCTGAATGCAGTCAAGGAGGGGGTTATGGAGAAGAACCATGGTTGCTGCATTGAGGAAGTGCTCGGGTTTCAGAACAATCTGTTCCCTATTGTCCTCTGCATCTGTAACCTGGTGCTGCGCCATATGTGAAAGTGCATCAGCTTGAGTGTTAGCTCTGCCTGGGCAATGCTTAAGACGGAAATCAAACCGAGAAAGCCATAGTGCCCATCATGCTTGTTGACAACTGAGGTCTTGGGTTGTCTTCCAGTATTCGAGGTTCTGGTGATTGGTTATGATTTCGAAGGGTTCCGGGGATCCTTCTAGGAAGCTTCTCCAGTCTTTCAGTGCCTCGATGATGGCCAGCATTTCCCAGTCGTAGATTTCGTAGTTTCGCTCGGTGGGGTCCATGGATGAGGAACGATATGCAACAGGGTGCCAGAGTTCATCCTCCTGTAGTTGTGAAAGGGTGCCTCCAGTAGCGAAGCCTAATGCATCAACTTCAATCCGAGTTGGTTTCGATGGGTCCCATAGTGTGAGGATCGGTGCAGATGTGAAGGAGTTCCTTAGTGAATCAAAGGCTTCCTGCTGTTGTGATCCCTAAACCCATTTAGTGTCTTTGCGGGTAAGGTCATTCAGAGGTTGAGCTTTCTTCGCAAAACCTTCAATAAATCTCCGATAGAAGTTAGCAAATCCTAGGAAGCCTCAGAGATCACGTAGTGTTGTAGGGGCCTGCCAGTTACTAACTGCCTCTATTTTGACTGGGTCCATTCACACTTCTCCCTCACTGATTACCAAGCCTAGGTATTCGATGGAAGGCCGTTCGAATTCACATTTCTCTGGTCGCAGATATAGGTCGTATTTGCTGAGGCGTGTAAGCACATCATTGACTATACTTCGATGTTCCTTAAGGGTTTCAGTAAAAACTAGGATGTCGTCCAGATAAACGGCCACCTTCCCAGCAGCAATGAGGTCAGCAAATATGGAGTTCATGAGGGCTTGGAACGTAGCGGGTGAGTTTGTCAGGCCAAAGAACATGACGAGGGGCTCGAAGAGTCCTCGGTTTGTTGCGAATGCTCCCTTCCATTCATCGCCCTCTTTAATCCGAATGTTGTTATACCCCCATTGAACATCCATTTTGGAGAAGACCTTGGCTTTGCACAGTTGGCTAACAATGTCTGTGACAAGGGGAAGTGGGTACCGAATCTTTACCATGTATTCATTGAGTTGCCGGTAATCCTGTACAAATCGAAGTTTGCCATCCTTCTTTTTGACAAAGAAAACAGGAGATGCCAGTGGTGATTTGGAGGGACGGATGTAGCCTTTGCGCCAATTCTCTTCCAAGAACCGATCCAGTTCTTCCTGTTCGTTTGGGGACATGGGATAGATTTTAGTCCGTATGGTTTCAGGAGTGTTGGGTTTCAGATCTATGGCATGGTCCCAAGGTTTATGTTCTGGTAATCGTTCTGATTCTTTCTCTGAGAAAACCTTTGCATGTTGCTGATATGAGGAGGGGACCATCTCTTCGAATGATTTTGATGGCTTTTCTTTGTAAGCAGCCTCTGCAAGTTGCTGGGAGTATGTGTACCCAGTGGAACACCAAAGCTCTTCTGATGTATGGCCAATGATTCCAGCTCGGAGTAATGCCCTCCTTCTTTTCCTGTTGCCTACTAGTCGATACAGAGGTGTGCTTTCAGTGTATTTGTGTATCTCTGGATCAGGCATGGGAAGTGGAGGAGTTTCTTCAGGCAATTGGGGGTGGTCGTCAGGCTCTGGGATGGAGAAGTGAACTCATAGAGCTGACGTGGGGCTCCAGTCTGGGTTAGCTTCTACGAGGTGTGAGGTGGTTCCCCCCACATTACTTTCCTTGGGTTCTGGGACTTCTTCGATGGTCATGGGGTGTGGAGCCTTTCTGGGAGGGGTGATAGCCAATCGCCCTTCTCTCCAGTCAATGTCCGGGTTGACCTTTCAGAGCCATGGAAGTCCAAGGATGATGTTTTCAGACCCGAGGTTGGTGATGAGGTATTCGAGGAGCTGGGGTTTGTTTCGGTCTATTGTGGAGAGTAGATGTACAGAGCGCATGATCTGCCCTGCCGTGTTAAGAGACCCGTCAACGTTATAGAGGGTGATTGGATGAAGGAGACGACGAGAAAGGATCCGATGTTGTTTCACAAAGCGGTCATGAATGAAGAGACCGGTGGCACCGGAGTCTATCATTGCTGCGCTGTCTGTATT